CAACTCTAGAAGTCCCCATCCCCATCTTATTCTTTTCTAGTCATTAAATCACTATTCCCATTGATTAATTTTGCTTGCTTTTTGAACTTTAGTAAATGAAATCATGCAGTATGTATTCTCTAAGGTCTGGTTTCTTTTATTTAATATTATAATTATGAAATTCATCCATGTTGTAGCATATAGTGATACTTTATTTCACTGTAACAAAAATGTATTATTTCAGATCCCTGTTGCTAGTTTAGCCATATTTGGGTGAATTATGCATGTGCATCTTGAGCTTTTCTGATTTGCTGCCTTTGTTGCATATTTGATTCCTATACTCCATCAGTGTTTTAGTCTGTCTGTATCAGTCTTTGAAGGGTATTTTTCAAGTAGTTTGTATCAGCTTATTTCATACTTACCCAAGAGTCTCTAGACAGTGTTGTTCTTCCAACATGCGGATATTCGTTTTTAGGGTTATTGCTGGCTTATACAGTAATGGTAGTATTTTTCATTTAAATCAGCTATCAAATCAACATAACTTTATTTTTCTTCTTTTAGCCCAGGTTTCCTTAGGTTTGTGAGGGTTTTATGTGGCATGTCTTCAGATGAGAGGAAGGCATTCCTGCAGTTTACCACTGGTTGTTCAACTCTACCCCCAGGTGGACTGGCTAACTTGCATCCTAGGCTCACAGTTGTACGCAAGGTACAAACTCTAGCTACTGGGGAATCTACATGGAATTAAGATACTTAAGGATTGAAAGAAATACATATTTAAAGTCATGGTCTTCTGTTATTTTCACTTCTATTTCTGTAGGTTGATGCTACTGATGCAAGCTACCCATCAGTGAATACATGTGTACATTATCTGAAGTTGCCGGAATACTCTTCGGAGGAGATCATGAGAGAGCGCCTGCTAGCTGCTACAATGGAGAAAGGCTTTCATCTCAACTGAGCTTTGAAGTGCAATGGGAGACATCAGAGACTTAAAATTCTAGTGAAGCCTCTTGTGTTTGTGTGCAGAGAAGTATATGATCCTCCATGCTAATGACACTTGCCTTTTTTCCACCATTAAGGCTTTAAGAACACATGGAATGAGTTCGTTAGCTGCTAATGACAAAACAAATCCTTTAACTATCCAGCCAGCAAGTATATAGCACAGAACACTTTGTGTTGCTACAAGGGCTCATGTGACTGGAATTAGGTGGTCCTACTTGACTGTTCCAAAGAGCAGCTTCTCAGATCTTCAGTGTTCATTGGTAAATTTCTAAGTGTATTTGTGTAAAGTTTGTCATTTCATACTTCATACACTACAGTTGCCATCACTGATGCCTGTTTTGCTGGCTTTTAAGCTACTTGGTCAAAAATCCTGCTTCCTTAAAACAGAGAGAGTTAATGAGCATCTCAAGCTTTTTCTTTTCCTTTTTAATGATGCCTGCACTATCAGAGTATATCTAGTGTTCTCTCTTTTGTTTGGCATATAATCATGCACAGCCTTTTTATTTCTTTGAGGTGGGGAGTATATTTTTATTTCCTAAATGCCATACTATAAAGTTCAAATTCTTAAGTGTGTTTGTGCAGTTCAAAAATAAAGATATATTAAGGGGGGGGAGAAAACACTGGTTTAGGTGCAAGGCACACTTAAAGCAAGTTTTACTTTTGGTTGTATTTTCTTTGTATATTATAAACATTTATTTAACTTGTTGCAGTTTGAAGTAAAAAAATTTCCAAAATGTATTCTCAACAATAATCATTAAAATGTTTGCAGCGTACAAAACTGTGTCATGTGACTGTTTCACTGCAGCCATCAGACCTAAGAGCTTAACTGTATACTTTTCATTTTGAATCATTGAGATATATAGTTTTTTGAAATTACTACGTGAAGAAATGTATTTTTCTGTGTAAATACACTTACTGAAACTGGAAAGCTAGGAGAAATATATGTTCACATGCTTGTGATCCAACTCTTGTGTTCTGTCTTTAAAGTATTCTTCAGGTAAAAATAGCCAAGTTATTTGTGTTAATTTTTTAAACACCAAATGTGCTACTTACCATTGTATCTTCAGCGACGTGTAAGTCTAAGATCCAAGAATGATTTTTGAATGTTGTGTTAGTGTGAAAAGAAACCACTGGGATAATGCTATTTCCTGGTTTTGAAAAGGGGCTATATTTCCATTTTCCTGTGACTTATCATATCTATGCATCTAGGTAAAAGAAATGTCACTAGGTCTGATTTAGCCAAATGGCTTTTATAGGCGTGAAAAGCATTTTTTGGAATTGCCCACAATTTACCTGTTTAAAAGGTACGTTCCCTTTCTACATTAGAAGAGACTTCTCCCATTGCAGTCAATCATTTGAGTAGTGTTTCTGTTCTCTGCATGAGAATGTTGTGACTATGTAATCAGAGGCAGCATTTACTTTACCTTATTGTTAGCTTCACAGTTCTCCGCGAGAATAAAAGTTAAAATAAAACATAATAGCAATATTTAAACGTATGACCTATGCTTTAATCCAGAAAACAGTGGTGGTGATTGTCTCAATACATGGATGCATGACTAGAACTTTACACTAGCAGTAGAATTACTATCCAGTTTATGTGTATTATTTAAGTCTCTAAAATGTCTGTCAGTAGCCAGCTTTTACCAAGACTATTCTAGCACAGGGGTCAGCAAACTGTGGCCTGCCGTTTGCATTTGTATGGCCCATGAACTAAACATGGTTTTTAAATTTTTAAGTGGTTGAAAAAAATAAAAAAGAATAATAATATCTTATGTGAAAATTTTATGAAATTCTGATTTGTATCCATAAAGAAATAAAGTTTTATTAGAACACAGCCATGCTGACTTATTTATGTATTATCTGTGGCTCTTTTTTGCACTACAGTGGCAGAACTGAGTAGTTACAGCAAAGACCATATGGGCCACGAAGCCTAGAATATTTACTGTCTGGTCCTTTGCAGAAAAGGTTTGCTGAATCCTGGTCTAGCATGTTGCTACAGCAGGTAAAGTCGATGAGTCTTATACAGTGAGTAACTCTGAAATGTCAGGAATCTTCCTGTAGAACTAAAAGTCCAAGAACAAGGTAAAGCTGACCAGTCTGAGACATAAATTTCATGAGTCTGAAAATCACGTAAAGCTGGTAGTCACAGTTCAGCAATAAACCTGAAGTGAGATGATGACACAGCCTGTCACACAACAGTCACATTAGAGTTCACTTCGTGTATAAGTCAAGTACTGTGAGACATCTACTTGGGTCTTCACATACACTAGCCTCTGGAGTATTTTTTCCAGTGGTATCTACCTAGTATTTTTTTTAATCGTTATTCTCTCAAGGTACTAAAATCTGTGCCAAGATGTTATTTGAATGCTATTTTGGTGTGACCCCAAAATTAATTTTATTCACTCCCTAGTTACTTCTGGTGTACCAGTTTCAGCAGTTACCCGAATGTGCTACTGATTAAGTGCCTACCAACTAGGCCAGTGTTTCCCAACTAATTATGTCTCAGAAAGACCTCCAAAGCACTTTGATCTAGACTGGGCTTTCCCCAGACCTTGGCTACTTAATGCATACCATTCACTGTTCTGGCAGGTCAGAAGCCTTTCCTCTGCCTTCCTGAATGAGTCCAAAACAACTAAGGTTTGCTTTTGGAGTCCATTATTGATTGGTTGCCTGGTAGATGCAAACTTTGAAATATGTAAGTGAAGTTTTAGAAACACATAGAGAATTTAAACAAAATCCCTCCTATACACACACACACACACACGAGACAGGGAGAGAAATCAAACAGTACTGAATGAATTACTGCCTAGAATGCCCATTTACGTCCTCTTTTGGAGGACAGAGTGTTGTAGGTGAAAGAACTCTTGGAATTCCATAGGATGGCACAATGTCTTCACGTATCAAGACTATATTTGTGTCCTCCAATGTACTTGCCCTCCTACGCTAACATGAACATGCTTTTACTTAAGACAGCTCTGTATCTCCTGCTGTTACGAAGCAAAAGCATATATACAGAAAGGTTTGGGAGGATCAGAGCATTGCTCTTCTATAGTGACTTAGCAGTTTTCTTTGCTTCAACACATTCCAGGAGAAGGGGTTGAAGGAATAAAAGGGAGGGGAAGACGGAGTCATTTCATGGCAACCTGAACAGAGATATTCTCTTGCATTCTATTTTTAAGCTTCGAACTAAATTTCATTTACAAATAAGTTTACTAATAAGACTAACTCTTTACAATATGGCATATAGGATAGCTATAATGGTTGTCTTAGCGATTTATTATTAGGTAGTAACATTCTCTATAGAGTTAATTACATGATGTCTTTGTAATTGCCAAGTACCCATAAAATGGATATCAGGCTTTTAGAAACTGGCAAAGAATATTTGATTCTGCAATTTTCATTAGGTACACACATTTTGACTTTTTAAAGAAAAAGATAGCATTCAGAAAACAGTATTATTCAAAGTGCTCTGCATGTTCAAGTCAATTTTAAAAGTTTATTGGCCAATAGAGAGGTGCCACATTTTCTTCCCACCCCATGATGCTGTTCCTGAATTTATCCCTTTGCAAAGGGAGGCAGAGACCAAAAGAGTTTCCCTCAGGACTCCACAAAATCTAAACAAGTGAGAAAAAAAAGCTTATGTTCAGGAAATAAAACTTGTCTCTCCGTTTAGAGAAAAATTTTCTTTGTGCATCATGTTTTAAAATACAGTTTTGTTTTCCGTTTAGGAACTGTGGGAAACACCTATTTTAAATGTTTTTGGAAGGACAGCCCATTTTGCAGTGTTTGGTCTTCCAGAATCTTTTGGGCTAGTGATGTTGAGAGGTATTCCATGGTGTCCTCATTTCCTGTAAGTCGATGTTGTCTGGCAGAGCCTTTCTGTTTTCAGCTGTCTGACATCTTATCAAGAATTAGTAGAGGGGCAAGAATTCTTGCCCGATTCGTTTCCACAATGCAGCCATTTAACACCATCTCATCCAAAATGATGTGTACTTTATCCAAATTAAACATTATCTAGGGTCATATTAAGGAAATTAGTTATAAAAATGTTAACATTCAGTAAATAATAACTTATGACTTTGCCTGGAATTTTTCCAGTGTAAATTAGTCTAAGCATGAAGGTTTTGTTTTTTTTTAACAGAATTCCTGAAATTAAAATTGGTATTTATATTAGAAATTATTACCTTCATATACACATATATACCTAATTTCACCTTGGCTAGGCTAACTAACTGGACAATAGACACAGAAATGGAACAGCTATACCTTTTAGCCAGAGTGAGACGGAATCTCTACTAAGAGCTGGAGAACAAAGCAAGTAAATTTTGGTAAGAGTGTGACCTGACCTCAAGAACAATGTCTTCCCAGACAATAATAACAACAGGAATAGCCATGACTTATTGAATACTCATTATGTTCCAGGCATTGTGTTGAGTATTTTACATGTATTATTTCAGTCTTCTCTACGACTCGGTGATGTACATGCTAACATTATCCTCATTTTACACAGGAACAAACAGGCTCAAAGCCATTGCCTACAGTCACATGGCTAGTAGTTGTCAGAGCTGGAATTTAAACCGAAAGTTTGGGCTTAACTGCTCTGCTTCCAGACTTCCCGGGAGAGGCCTGAGGCGGCTGAGTATACATCCTCCCTCCACCCTCAAACCTCCACCCCAAAACAAATGCCTTTACAATACTGCACCTTGAGCATCTTTTGTGTCAGACAGGCTAAAAGAAAAAAATAACCACGAGGAGAAATGAATGAAGAAAAGGCAATGCTGACTTAATTCCCAAGGAGATAAAAATTCCGATTTTCAAGAGAGTACCTCTTATAAATGGAGCATTCTAAAAATACTCATTTGAGAATTATGGAGCCACTTTAGATTACTGACGTTCTTATTGGAAAGTTAGTACAGGGCATGGGAGAAGAAGAAAACACTGTTAGACTATGATGTCTAGCTAATTAGAGCCAAGTCCTTCCTCCAGTAGTCCCTTCATTTGAGTACCTAACTTTTCTTTTGTGAAATTGAACTGGAAGAGAGAACTGACCTGTTCTGGAAGAGAGAAACTCTTGAGAGTGAAGATGATAATGGTTGAACGTTTCTAAATTCTATGCTTTACTAAAGTTTCCATCACTAAAGAGCACAATCCTGGTCTGTTTAGAAAAAAACAGAACAAAACAAAAAACAGCTGACAGATTGTTTCAAATAGACAAACTTCATTCAACAAGTGAGTGATTAAATGCACTATGGGAGTTCATAATTAGTGACTCTTTGTAAAATGAGCCATTACCACCTGATTTTTCTTCCCAATAATTCCAGACGTTCCAGTCTATTGTATTTGCTTAGTAAAGTACATCTATAGAGAATGAGACAATCCTGTGAATGACTTTTAAGTTTCTATTAGGCTCTGTGTTAATACCTCATTAAGCTCTGTGCAAATAGTTCTCCAGCAGAATAAACTTTTTCAGGAGCCCATGGGGACTGTCCTAAAGTGACCCAGAAAAAAAAAAAGCTTTACTCTGTTATACCTATTAATAATATCTTCCAATTAGATGGATGATTGCTTTGTCCATGGCCAAATTGGGACTGGAATATTAGGCGCTTGACTTAATCCTCTTCACTAGACCCAGAAGCCAGAACAAGGTAGGAATGACAGCCAGGTATAAAGGAAGGCAGAGCTGGGAAGCACAGGTGACTGCATGAAAAAAATGCCCTGTAGAATCCCCCTGTTGTATTCACTAAGGGCAATGAAAGCCTAGTGCCTTTTTTTTTTTTTTTTTTGGGTGTCAAGGTTTTTTGTTTTAAGTATAGTTGATTTACAGTGTTGTGGGAATTGCAGCAAAGTGATTCAGTTACACACATATATATACATTCTATTTTAAAATATTCTTTTCCATTATGGTTTATCATAGGATATTGAATATAGTTCTCTGTGCTATACAATAGGACCTTGTTGTTTAAAGCCTAGTGCCTTTGAAAATGTCAACCCATCCAGGGTGATTCTGAGGTAGAAGGAGATCTCATTTTAATCTATTCTATTTGAATCGATGCAGGGATCAAGCTGCTCTGAAGACTGCTCCATCTTTGGCAAGAATATGGTCAGCAATTCAGATGTCCCCTTGAACAACTAGCTCAATGTTTTGCAATTCAGATTAGAATTTACTGCTGAATCATATCAACCACTGACATCCTCACAATGCAAGGACAAGGTCCTTCAGCAAGCCTGAATTTCCCAACATCCTGGAAACATGAATTGCTCAGTGAGGGCATTTGGTACTGTGGGCATGTGACTGCCTGTCTATCTGAGTATCTGGCTGAAACCTCTAATAATCATGCAACTTTCTGGCACTGTAAAGGGAAACCACAGACCAAATCCAATGTGAGGCAAAAGCCTGAAAACTGATTTCCCCTTGGAATCATGTGGCTCCTTGAAAATAAGAATCCAGCTGTTGTTCACATCTTGATTTGGTTAATGAGTTACTTGTGCACACTGGAAAAGCCAAGAGTAATGGCATTTGGGCTACAAGCCAGGTGAGCAGGGACCAAAAAATGCCCTATATGCCAAGTCCCGTGGCAATAAGCAGAGGCAAACACACTTTAGCCCTGACATTTGGAATAGGAGGAAGCAAGAACGGCACAAGCTGTTGGTCTATTAAGGTGATGAGCTGAGAATGACTAGTTTAAGAGGGTCCAACCTTAGGTTTTACTGAATTCAACTGACTTAAAGATCCTTGAGGAAACTTGTTTACCTTTATGGGCACCCTAAGGTTGGAGCTGATATGAACTAGAAAGAGCCTCTTAAAGAACAGAGTCATAAAGCCCCACTTTCTCCCAACCCGGAAACCTAGAGCCTTTCTGAATTTCTATGTAATGTGGATTGGAGCTGAATAGAGTAGGACCTCAGTAATATTAGTGCCACTTGAAATCAATTTTTTAATTAGAGTGATTGAAATGTTTCTGGTTCATACATTGGAATTTTGATCTCTGGATCATAAAGCACTTTTTCATCATGGTATTTTAACACCACTGTGGTGGTCTAGTTCTTTAATGAGAGAAAACTGAGCAGCATACATTCTAATGGGACCTCAAAAGCAATTCCAAGGAAGAGCCCAGCCTAGAAACTAAACTTTCTAATTCTAGATTTTGGCCTCAGATCCCTTGTCTTCTTATTTGATTTCTTTTCTTTTGTTTTGTTTTGTTTTGTTTTGTTTTTTTAAGATCCTAGCTCGGACTTCCCTGGTGGTGCAGTAGTTAAGAATCCACCTGCCAATGCAGGGGACACAGGACAGGTTCGATCCCTGGCCGGGGAAGATCCCACACGCCATAAGCATCTAAGCCCATGCGCCACAACTACTGAGCCTGTACTCTAGAGCCCGACAGCCACAACTACTGAAGCCTATGTGCCTAGAACCTGCGCTCCGCAACGAAGAGTAGCCCCCGCTCACCCCAACCAGAGAAAGCTCGCACACAGCAACGAAGACCCAACGTAGCGAGAGAGAGAGAGAGAAAGAAAGAGAAAGAAAAAAAAAAAGTTCTTTAAGTACAGTGGGGAAAAAAACGTGTTCTCTTTTTTTTATACTTTAACTCAATTGCCCACGGAATTACATAAGTTGCAAAGGGCCAATGTGTTCACATTTCCCACCGAAAATCACATGCTACTGTATGGAAGATTATCATGAAGATTCTGCATAGTTCTGGATATACTCTCCTTGTAATAGTCTTGTGTTCACTTTTAGGCTTAGTATGGCCTTTAGTTAATTAGGTCACTGAAAAGGAGTGGGGTTTTTTTTTTGTTTTTATTAATAGTAATCTTTTATTTATTCATTTATTTTTATATTTATTTTTGGCTGTGTTGGGTCTTCGTTTCTGTGCGAGGGCTTTCTGCAGTTGCGGCGAACGGGGGCCACTCTTCATCGCGGTGCATGGGCCTCTTCACTCTGGCGGCCTCTCTTGTTGCGGAGCACAGGCTCCAGACGCGCAGGCTCAGTAGTTGTGGCTCACGGGCCTAGTTGCTCCACGGCATGTGGGATCTTCCCAGACCAGGGCTCGAACCCGTGTCCCCTGCATTGGCAGGCAGATTCTCAACCACTGCGCCACCAGGGAAGCCCCAAGGAGTGTTTTTTTATTGTTGTTGTTAAGTAGGTTTTCCTGAAAGATCCATTCATATTCTGAGAGCAACAAAGACATCCCAGTGTAATTTTTTTAAGTTTATATAGGTTTATGTAAAATTACACAAATACCAGTCAGCACTGGGGTCAATGAGCCTGTCATTCTCTTGTTTTTTTCCCCAGATTCTCTGTTGCTTCTCATAGCTTGCTGCCACTATTCCTGAGTAAAACAACCCAGAAGCATAGAACAGGAGGAGTGGGGGTAAGGCAGAGGGACCTGGAGGGAGGGATAGGAGGAATAGCAGGGGATGAATATGGCACCTAAAGGACTCAGAAACACACTTGAAGGATATAGAGAGATGGCTAAGGCTAGGGAGGGCCAAAATGGCCTGGAAGGCAGAACTGTTTAATCTGGAACTTTCACATCCCTTTCCCAGGTGAATGGCTGACTCCCTTGGAGACTGTTCATAATTCTGAGACTCATCACTCATGACTTGACTAGAACTCTCATGCTGGAGAGGGCTGTGGTCCCCTTACCCCTCCTTGCCTGCCCTTCCCAAAGACTGGACCAGCTGCACACATTCCCTTGGGCCCAGGGGCCTGCTCTCTTCTCTTGCAGCCCTGCTTCAATGGACATATTTTCAAAAGGAAAAGATGTTTAGAAATCTCTGACATGAACGTCACTTTTGGAAAGCATGCTCTTATCAAGACATTCAGGTATTCGCTTCAAAATTTTTCATTATTTATGACTCCTCCAACCGAAGACCAGGGTTTCTCTAAAACTTCTTCCCTAATTCAGGAAACACCAAGACAGCATGGTGCCAGGCACTTTATAAATGTTTTCTTAGAGACTAATTTGCTACAATCTACTCCAGATGATTATGAATTTTCAAAAAGTGTGTCAAATTTAATCTTAAAGCCCTAGGATCAAAGGCTCTGGAAACCTGGAGACCAGTACCAGCTCTGTGCCAAAGTAGCTCTGTAGTTTGGAACAATCAATCCATAGAGCTACTCTGGAACAGAACTGGTATCGGTCTCTGAGCCTCAGCCTCTTTGTCTAAAAAGTGAGATTTTAACTTGATGATTGTGTAGTTTTCTTCCAACTCCAAAGCAGTCAAACCCTATGACTCCAAAAGTAACCTTCAGGGAGAGGAAAGCTAGTTTACTCCTTTCTGATATGATCAAGCTATTCCTGATGTAGTCACATGCTCCACCATACCTCAAAAGAAATCCTTTTGTAATAACAATTAATTATTTTAACTTTCTGAGAGAGCATCGAGAAAATTTCAGTTCCTCTAGAAGCTGCCACTTCAGTGTTGGATGGTTTCCCTAGAGAATATCTTTGGTCCTCTTGTCAGTATTTCCATAGCCCCTAGTTGAACAGTTACTTTTGTGATTTCTCACTAAGTCAGGCTGAAATTATCTCCTATTTGGAGAAGCCCTGTTCTAGTTTCTGGACCTCTAAAGGTGTTTGGGATTTTAGGAAAGTAATGAAGGAACGACAGATAGACGTCCCCCTACTGGGCCTGGGGCCTGATCAGGGCCTGACTGCAAATCTTAGCGGTGCTCTTACTGTTGGCTGGGTGCTTTTAGTCTTCCAGGGCACACCCTGGTAGATAACTAGCTGAGTCATAGAGAGTGCAAGAGGATGGAGGCCCTTCCTACTCGCCCACCCTCAACTTCAGTAAAGAGAGCATGTTTCACATCACGCATATGAGCTTTTAGGCTCTAGAATTAATTGCTCAAGCTTTTGGACTTTAAGGACTTACAAAGTAAAAACATGAGTGTTCTAAAGATTTTTTTTAAAGATATTTTTGAATGAAGAAAACATTCTGGATTCTAGAGCTATCCTATATTTGTCAGGGAGGGGGCACAAGAATATAAATAGGAACCCCAGCTTGTTCCTGGCTTTTCCTCCCAGGCATGCATGTGGAATACCCCCCTTACCATCCCAGCCTCTCTATTATTCCTGCCTCCAGTCCTGGGGTGGTAAAGAGACCTACATAGGCCCTGGCAGCAGGCACTGGGATGACCAGGTACCCGCTAAATTCTGGGGACCCAGGTGCTGGAGGGTGGTCAAGGAGTGGATGGGGGGCCCTGCCGGCTCTGGGTAAGCATCCTTACTCCATGGAGAGGGGTGCTGCTGAAGGAGAGCTAGAGTAGGGTCCTCTAAAGCACAGGGCCCAGGAAGGGGACCCTGGTTGTCTGGGTCTGAAGACAGTACTGCTGCATTCCATTCTAGCCAAAATTAACCAAGTCTTTAAGCCTTTTTAAGGCCACCAAATACCAAAAGGGGTGTCAAGGGTTTTGGTGCCTTCACACACATTAGGTGTGCACTGAACTGGGGAGGAATTGGACTTCTACACAGCGCTGTTCATGGGTGCCATCCTCTGACTATTTAGCAGAAGGGGATTCGATTGCTCCTTTGAATTATGAATTGTCTGGAGAATTCGGCAAACCTGGGGCTCTGGAGCTGAGCACATGTTGAGAAGCTCATCCGTTGGTTCCTAAAAACTATCTTAATTCGTGGAATTTGAAGTCTTAAATAAGTCTACCAAAGTATGAGGAAGGGCAAACTTTCCCGACAGAAGTCCTCAGGCAACATTTCAGCCCTGCGGGTGGAGTGGAATGTAAAGAGGGTATCAGGGCTGCTTCAGCGCACGTGAACGGTTTAGGTCCTGATGTGCTTAGTCCCCGGGGTACAGGCTGCCCCACTTGAGACTACTCTGCAACAAAGAGTTTCCACTTAGTAGAAGGGTTTTCAACAAACCAGAATTTCTGTCCTGATTTCCTGAGCTTATGTCATTTCTTTTTAATAACCCATCTGCCTTGCTCTGTGACGTTAGTCTTCTTAGAAGTAGAACAAGCCCATACTAGGGAAAAATGTAAACAATGCATTTAATTTCCCAATGTCTAACCCTACAGGCTCTGGAAAACTGCTCCCTTCTTAAAAGGCTTCAGGGCGGTAAAGTCTCTGGAGAAAGACTGCGAGTAAAGGGCTTCTTGGGAGTTCCATAAGGTTTGGACTCCCACCTTCCTGTTGCTGCAACAAGACTGAGCCTTAAATCGTGTCTGTTCCAAGCAGACGAACGTGGAAGGCTTCCTTAATCTGAGCAAACACAAAGGTTATGTGCTCTTGAGTGTTGGGAGAACCGGTTCCAAGTTGCAATTATATCAGCTGCTGGTCCAACCTTTCAAGGCCTAAGGAAGCTTCCCTGGCACAACGTTAGCTGCTCTGGCAGGTTCCTGGTTACATGCTACCAGGGTGGTGATGCGGTCTGTCTGTGAGGCCACACCTCTAAAAGGCTCCCTTGTCTTACTGTTAAGAAACTGATGTGTAAAGTTTTCCCTGGACTTCTTCAACGTGACAGTTAAACAGAACTGTGGGGAATTCCCTGGAGGTCCAGTGGTTAGGACTCCGAGCTTCCATTGCCGGGGCCTGGGTTCAATCCCTGGTCGGGGAACTAAGATCCTGCAAGCTGCGCAGCCCGGCCAAAAAAAAAAAAACTATGTATGAGACAGAATAGAGTCGTAATTTGACTTTTTTCAGATGGCTGAGGGTAGAAACTCTTTCAGAATCTCAATAGAAGAGAGGTGCCCCATGCCCTGCCTGCCCTGCCCCCTGCTGCACTTTTAGACCATGGGAGGGCCACATGAATTTACAGCTTGAGCACAGACATACACTTCCAGGTCTGGAGAGATTTAGTTCCCTTCTCTAAATTATGCAAACTTCCTAATCTGTCAGGTGGATGTGCCTAAGTATTTCCCAAGAACAGGAATATATAAGTTGATCAGAGAGGAAGAGAAGGCAAAAATGAAACTAAGTAAAATGCAGGGTAAGGATGAAAATTGTGTGCTTTGGTGTGAAAATTAAATTCAAACAAGAACGCTGGAGTTCATTACATGGACTTATGCCATACACTAGAGGGATACAAAGACAAACCCATCTCTACTTTTAATAAACACCTAGTCAGTATATAAGACACATCAACACACTGAGTCCAACTATAATACGCATCCTACTATATCTGATTCACTTTACTTCTCTGAATATCTAGACTTATAAGACTTTCCCATCCTGTTCTAGGTGTAAGATAGCTCAGTTACCTAGTCATGGCAACATCAAACATTAAGGCTGAGAGGGTGTTAAGGCTCTTCTAGTTTAATTCTGTCATTCTGAGATGAGGGGGTTATGTGTCTTGTCTGATACACACAGACAGTTGGTAGCAGCAATGAAAGCAAAACTTGGGTATCTATATTCCCAGTAAAGTGTCTATTAGCTTTTGCTGTCTTCCTGATGACTTCTTAAATCAAAAGTCATTTTTCTTATTACCCTGTACAAGGAGGAAGAGATTTATTTTGAATTGCTTTAAAGGACTTAGTTAAAATGGAATGTGACATGCTGAATAAAAATACACCCTAATATACAGCCTGGTCTTGGGTCTCCTAGGTCAAAAGGACCACAGATTTAGGTCACTCACCACTAGAGGGCACTCAGATTTCCCCAACTGATTTAAAGAGGCTTCAAATACAGCCTGCAAATCAAGTTTATCAACATGACATTTTCTATCAATAGTAAAAGGTAAATGGCCATTTCCCCAGAATATACTGGCATACTGTTTCTGGGCATAGGTATCTAATGTGTATGTGTGTGTGTATGTGTGTATGTGTGTGTGTGTGTGTGTGTGTGTGTGTGTGTGTGTGTGTGTACACACAAACATGTTATAATTAATATATATTTGTTATAATTAATGTTACTATTTCAGATTCAAGCCTGATGTTTTCTCAAAGGACACCTATTTATTGCGTTCAAGTGGTAAGCAGATTTCCGAAGTAAAGATTAACTTAAAAGACAACTTGCCTCCAGAGCACTGACACAAAGCCCAGTGGGCTCCTGCCCAAATCCGCAGGCCTGCAACATTCTAAGTAAATCATGCTTGTTCTTGGGGCCCTTGGATACTTTGATTTAAAAAGGAGAAGAGAAGAAAAGGAGAGCTTCCTCTGCTATAAAAGGAGATGAATACAAGCCAGGCAATGTCTTTAACCTTCCAGTTTATCATCCCTGAAGGCCTTCTTCTGATCATGTGGGGAATTTCTGGAGATTTATACCTAGAGCTATGGAAATCCATTCTCTCCAGGAGGCCCAAGGACTTTCTGGCTGTGTTATTTAAATTCTGCAAAAGTCTATTCCATATGCACAAGTTAAATTAATATATGAGAGTGATCATTAACTACACCATAGCATTGCCCTGTCTGAAGAGTACAAGGATCGTCTTTGTGGAAAAGGGTGGAGGGTCCTGCAAAGCGCCTGTGCCTCCGCTGTCTTGTCAGGGCGGCTGATGATGAGCCTTCTGGATTCTGGACTTGGCTGAATTGGTTTCCTGCCCCATGGCACTCACCTGATCAAGACTAGCCTGTTCTTTGCCAAGTACTATGGAAAACTTGGTTCACAGCACTGAAAAAGGATACATCTAGTTCACTCTGGAAAAGAGAAAAGAGTCCGAGGATGAGAAGGAGACACTGGGACACAATGCACTTAGCAGAGACAGCGCCTGCTCTGGTTGCCAGCCTGAAAGCAGGTGGGAGAGGCTGCTCTGTAGGGAGAAGCCTGAGTGCGGGAAGGCCCTGAGTTTGGGACAGTGATTTAAAAAAACAAAATAGGCTGCAGTTTAGAGAACTTTTATAGGCTAGAACAATTCACCTTTAGAGTGTAGAGGGAATAAAATAATTCAACCTTTACAGATCATAGGTAATTTGATAGGTATATACAAAATCGTAATAATGTGCACACAGTTTGAATCCATCAGTTTTACTGCTAGAAGTCTCTCCTAAGGGAACAGTTAAATAACGGCACAATGATGTGTGACAGCATATTCAGGGTAATGTTATTTATAGTAGCAAATTGCTGAAAACAAGCTAAGTGTCTATCAAGGGGGGACTACTTAAATAAATTATAGCAAATCCACAAATGATGACATAGGTACATAAGTCCCGACATACTGTTAAATAAAAAAGCTAGTCTGGGGCTTCCCTGGTGGCGCAGTGGGTAAGAATCTGCCTGCCAATGCAGGGGACACGGGTTTGAGCCCTGGTCCGGGAGGATTCCACATGCTGCGGAGCAACTAGGCCCGTGCGCCACAACTACTGAGGCTGCACTCTAGAGCCCATGAGCCACAGCTACTGAAGCCCACGCACCTAGAGCCCGTGCTCCACAACAAGAAAAGCCACCGCAATGAGAAGCCCATGCACCGCAACAAAGAGTAGCCCCTGCTCACCGCAGCTAGAGAAAGCCCGTGCATAGCAACAAAGACCCAACACAGCCAAAAATAAATAAAAATAAAAAAGCTAGTCATAAAATGGTATATACAGGATTATCCCCTGTATATATGTAGATAGATATAGATATAGTTAGATACAGATACATAAAGCCTAAAAGGCAATGTACCTAACAGTATGTATCAATAAACGGCATGCTCACTGATGATCTACCCTTTCTTTTTGCTCGTATGTATTTTTAATTTTTTTTAATGAACAAATTTATGTCCTGAAAAAGTCATAGATGGAGAAAAGATGAAAGCGCTAAATTCATCTTTGAAAGGACTTAAGGTTTGTCAAGTGCAGCACTGACAACTCTGATCCCACTTCCTCAACAGCAAAAGCCCTCATCTCTTGCAAAACTGCCTCTTTTGAAGCTAACTGGGCTGGCTTTCTGTTTTGAAACGTGATGTTAAGATGCTTCTTTCAGCCCAGACAGCATGAGATTGATCTCCAAATTTAAGATTTGGAAACTCTAAGATTAAAAATAGCCCCAGAAAAACTGTTTAAAACTCACAAACCTAAAAATAAATCTTAGATGACAAGGCATTCTCCATGAGTGGGACAGATTCTATTTTCCTTCCCAGGGTTCTCTTCTCTCTCCTCTTTTTCTTCTTTTTGCTACTGTCAGCCTAAACCGGGTCATCCCTTAGTACTCTCCAAGTCCTGTATAATCACCTGGCTTAAATTAAATTCTAATCTTTACTTCTGTGGTTTATGTGGTCACTGACTCTCTCCCTAGAATAACAGCTAAAATTCAGCAACCTGCTATTTATTCTTAGTTACCGAATATAATAATTTTTAAAACCTTAGCAATGATAGTGCCTGTACCCACGCTTTATTCTCCCAGGTTTAAAACATTGCTATTTTGGGAAATTATATTCTTCTTGATAGGTGTTCCCTTAAAGTGACTAACCATGGCCAGCTCTGAATCACAGACCCTGACTTGCAACCAGTCTGTCTAAGAAAGTGGTCATCAGGAGATAAGCCGGAACTACAGCTATGCTGTCCGTATGGTAACCACCTGCCTTGCGTGGTGATTTAAATCAATTAAAATTAAATAAAATTATAATTTCAATTCCTCATTTACACTAATCACATTTCAAATATTCAAGAGGTACATGTGGCTTAGCACCTACCACATTGGATGGCACAGATAGAGAACATTTCTATCACTGCAGAAAGTTCTATTGGACAGAAAGTTTTGGTCTATAGTGCTCTCCCCAAGCAATCAATAAGAAGGTGGATTTTTTTTTTTTTTTTTTTTTTTTTTTTTATTACACGGGCCTCTCACTGTTGTGGCCTCTCCCATTGCGGAGCATAGGCTCCAGACGTGCAGGCTCAGTGGCCGTGGCTCACGGGCCTAGGTGCTCCAGGGCATGTGGGATCCTCCCAGACCGGGGCACGAACCCGTGTCCCCTGCATTAGCAGGCGGACTCTCAACCACCACGCTACCAGGGAAGCCCAAGAAGATGGATTTTAAAACCAGACCCAATGCCCCCTGTCCCTGCAAGGCCAGTCTCTGGAATGGCCAGACCTCTTGCTCTTTCAGCTTTGGAGGGCACCAATCCCTTCCTAGCTAGAGGCACTACCATGTCGCAGGCCACTAGGCAGCTGCCCAGCTCCAACCGCTGAATTAGGAAATAGCTGACAGCAAGCCTCATGCATTAAGGCAGTGGTTCTCAAACTTAAGCATGCATCAGAATCACTTGGAAGGCTTGTTAAAACACAGTTTGCTGTGCCTCAACCCAGAGTTTCTGATTCAGTAGTCTGGGGTAGGCCAAGAGTTTATACTTCTAACAAGTTCCCAGGTAATAATTATGCTGCTGGTCCAGGAACCACACTCTAAGAACAAACTGCACTAAGGCAATGAAAACAGGCTAGTCGATTGCCCTGTAAAGAAGTCTGCCAGGGCTTCCCTGGTGGCGCAGTGGTTGAGAGTCCGCCTGCCGGACTGAAACCCGTGCACCTAGAGCCCGTGCTCCACAACGAAGAGTTGTGGCTCCACAACAAGAGAAACCACCGCAATGAGAAGTCTGCGCACCACAACAAAGAGTAGCCCCCGCTCACCACAACTAGAGAAAGCCCGTGCATGGCAACAAAGACCAAATGCAGCCATAAATAAATAAATAAATTTATATAAAAAAAGAAGTACTGATATATGTTACAACGTGATCAGCATAACCTAGAAAACATGCTAAATTTAAAAAGCCAGTCACAAAAGACCATATTTTATTGTACTTTATATAATTCTGTTTATATAAAATGTCTATAACAGGCAAACCTATAGAGACAGAAAGTAGACTGAAGATTGCCTAGTGCTTGGAGCAGGTGGAGGGGATAATTGGGAGAGAAATGCTAAATGGTATGGTGTTTCTTTCTGGGGTGATGAAATATTTTAAACTTGATTGTGGTGATGGTTACACAACTCTGGGTACATACTAAAAACTATACACTTTAAATGGGTGAACTGTATGTTATTAAATTACATTTCAGTACAACTGTTAAAGGACTGCTGGAAAGGAACTCATGTATTCCTTAAGGGGACTTGGTTTTGATCCTCAAAGCAAGGGTTTGGATGGAAATGATTCTTAAACTAAAAGGGTCCTGGTGTCCTAGGAGGGGAAGCAGAAGAAAGAAGAAAAGAGAGAGGAAGTTCAATAGCAAAATATCTTAATTGAGAGAAAGACACAAGAGGTTCTTGGTCTTATAGAACTGGTTCTTTATAAAGATCTAAGACACACGTAGGTTTCTAACACGTTGGATGAGCTAGAAGGAAAGGTAATGAAAATTTGACGTCATTTGATTTTTAAGTTTTACACATTAAAGCTCTATATTAACACATTTTTTTTTAATATATAAATTTATTTATTTATTTATTTTTGGCTGTGTTGGGTCTTTGTTGCTGCGCGTGGATTTTCTCCAGTTGTGGTGAGCGGGGGCTCCTAATTGCGGTGGCTTCTCTTGCTGTGGAGCACGGGCTCTAGGCGTGCGGGCTTCAGTAGCTGTGGCACGTGGGCTCAGTAGTTGTGGTGCACGGGCTTTGCTCCGTGGCATGTGGGATCTTCCTGGCCCAGGGCTCGAACCCGTGTCCCCTGCATTGGCAGGTGGATTCTTAAACACTGCGCCACCGGTGAGGCCCATTAACACATATTTTTGACATAGACCCATTTCTGGGAAATTGAGCTAAGGACGAAAACCATTTTTTAGTCATTAGACTTACCACTCGGCTGAAGTAGTCATCTAAAACTTCCACGAAGTTATGGATGAATTCATAAATTGCCATCTCATTCTGAAATAAAAAAGGAAGGGTACAGTTAGTTTTATTTTTATTTATTTATTAAAAAAACATTTATTTTTTGGCTGCATTGGGTCTTTGTTGCTGTGTGCGGGCTTTCTGTATTGCGGCGAACGGGGGCTACTCTTCATTGTGGTGCGCAGGCTTCTTATTGCGGTGGCTTCTCTTGTTCCGGAGCACAGGCTCTAGGTGCATGGGCTTCAGTAGTTGTGGCATGCGGGCTCAGTAGTTGTGGCTCACGGGCTCTAAAGTGCAGGCTCAGTAGTTGTGGCACTCGGGCTTAGTTGCTCCGTGGCATGTGGGATCTTCCCGGACCAGAGCTCGAACCCGTGTCCCCTACATTGGCAAGTGGATTCTTAACCACTGTGCCACCAGGGAATTCCCGGGTGCAGTTAGTTTTAATATGACCTATTGGGGAAATCAGACATGGAGCTGCCCAGTCGTCAACCAGGTTTTAGAGCATTTGGTAAACAGATAATGTGAGCAAAGCAGCTTCCTATTGACAAATATTCAGAATAATTCTAGGACTTATTTCTTTAAAAGAAGCTTATCAATAGGGGAAATGTAGAAAACCTTAACCTCTAAGATTTTTTGAAAAGTCCATGATGAATCTAGCTGAATTGAAACCAGATTGTGTCTGGTGATTATAGAGTTTTGAGGTTTACTCCCTGACTTCATCACCAACTGGCTGAAGCCAGGTTCTTTTTTTGTTTTGCTTTCCCCCAGGGTCTTCATGTCATCACTTTTCCATCTGTGAAGATGGGGAAACCATCTCAAAGTTTGGTTCATGGATAAGAGAACAATCAACTGAGTTTTCAAAGTATTTTAGATCTTAAATACCCTTTCAGGGATTCCATGGCCAAAGGTGCTATTGATGTGGGACTGACCATTTCTGAAAAGGTGAACTATATCTGATGAGATGTAATTACAACACAATCATATTTACAGTTTGCTCTGCCTTCTGAAATGTCAGCCTATGTTTAATGCCACAGTTGTTTGGCCTCTACCCTTGGCTAAGCTACCCCACTGTGCCACACAGAATGAGGGCAGGAAACTGGTATTACTTAGGGTCGAGGAAGGCATTCTGTGGTTTTGTGCTTCTCCACAAATTGCTCATCTAATCCAAAAAATATCCTAGGTTTATCTCTTCCACACAGTTTCCCCAGCCTTGATAAAAACCAATATCCTTCAAGAGTCAAGATAATTGTTATGGAGGTAAGTAGGGAAGAAAATGTCAATTTAAGGAGGAATCAAAATCAGACTGTTGGGCTTCCCTGGTGGCGTAGTGGTCGAGAATCCGCCTGCTGATGCAGGGGACACGGGTTTGAGCTCTGGTCTGGGAAGATCCCACATGCCACGGAGCAACTAGGTCCGTGAGCCACAACTACTAAGACTGCGCTCTAGGGCCTGCAAGCCACAACTACTGAGCCCACGTGCCACAACTACTGAAGCCCGCGCGCCTAGAGCCCATGCTCCGCAACAAGAGAAGCCACTGCAATGAGAAGCCCATGCACCACAACAAAGAGTAGCCCCCGCTCACTGCAACTAGAGAAAAGCCAGCACGTGTCAGTGAAGACCCAATGCAGCCAAAATTAAATAAATAAATTTATTTTTTAAAAAAAATCAGACCGTTATTCCTAATTTTCTTGTATTTTCCATAAGCTCTTCTATTATCTTACCTCAGTGTCATTAACTCCGACCACAATGAAGAGAGCTGCATACTGCCGATATATCAGCTTAAAATCCTTATATTCAATGAAAGAGCACTAGACAAAACACAATTAGACATTAATTCCTGAGGCTGACAGGGATTTCTTCAAAATGGCATGCATAATTTCTAGGTTCTGATTTGAGTATCTGTCAACACATTCCTAGAAATATTCAACATTAAGATGTGACACAGTCTTTGCTGGCCGCCTCCTCACAGTACTCAGGGGAATGCTTGGAAGCATCTCTAGTGGGAGGTGGAGAAGTGGTCTTGGAAAAATGTCTGAGTGTTCACATGGGTTCCCACCTGTACTTCTTCTTATTCCTTTGCTTGGCTCTGTGTGGAACTCAGCCAGCAAAGAAAAGGCTACTAAATAATCAGCATTTTAGACTGCCTCCAAAAGTGAAAATAAGCCAACCTGATACAGAAGATTTTCTTCTTTCCATCTCCCCTGGGCTCTTTTGGAAGCAATTAGAGATTCCGTTTGTACTATCTGATAGTCATTCAAGAGCCAAATATACAGAGCATACACACATGCAAAAAAGAAAAAATCTTGATTTCTTTTTGAGAAGAATCAATGTAGGCTCTTTTTATAAATTATTTAAAGATGGCTTTTGTGTGGCAGACACTAGACAAAAATCTCCCATTGTAAATATTGCTTTATAGGAATTAATAACTAGCTTACCATTACTGACTAGTGGAGGAAACAACTCCCTTCCCATTCATCTCTCTCCTAAAGCCATTGTACAAAGGGGGAGAGGAAGGCACTGGGTGGACAGGAATTGGACAGCAGGCTGAAGGTACAGTGTTGCCCTTCCTTTGGATTTTTGGGTGCGCTTGACCAAATGTGACTGAGCAAGAACGGCATGACTTTTTGCACTGGAATATGTTGCTCTATGGTGTTCAGATGTACCTGGGAATGAAGCTGCAAGTTGTTTTGTTTTGTTTTGTTTTGGTTTGGGTTTTTTTGGCCATGCTACACAGCTTGTGGGATCTTAGCTCCCTAACCAGGGATCGAACCCACATCCCTGGCAGTGAAAGCACAGAGTCCTAAACACTAGACCACCAAGGAATTTCCGAAGCTGCAAGTTTTGATTATGGCATTTCTTCCACGGGAAAGCCATTCAACGATCTATATAATGGAGGAGTTTGAGGCTTTTATTAGACATTAGGATAAAAGTATTAAGTCCAGGACCATTCTGCAGCTTTTGGTTCATTGTAGAGCCAGTATTATTTCTGTTCAGTCAGATCTTTCAAGGAAACAAAATCTATTTGAAAGAACTGAGGAACATTTTTCAAAGACTCTCAGGAGTTTCTGACATTCAAAAAAAAGGTATCCAAGCACCTTTGTGGATAAAATAAAAATGAAGCTGAGATTGTGTTACTTTGGTACCTGATTATGCTAAAAGCCCAGTGGGTTCCCTTTAAAATCTAAGATAATTTAGAATGCTTCAAAAATATCTAATGGTATGTTCATTTCAAAGCATATATTTCAGAGGGTAACCTATCAGTGAAAACTATGAAATTGTAGAGTGCCTATGTAGAAAGATTCAAACAGAAATACTTCTGCAGTTTGTTTACCTTTACTTAAAGTATGTGGCTATTAACACAGTCCTTTAATAGTTTTTGTTTTCTTTTGACAACTACATAAAGCAGTGTGTGCCATGGCAGTCCAAAGTAGTAATTCAAAGAGGACTCTGAGATGTTCTGACTGGAAAATCAATTTAGAAGCCAAGGGAAACACAGTTCTAATGCGTAACTTGTGAGCACTGATGTAGCTTAATATTTTATGACTTACCAGTGGTTCCCAAGAGCAGCCTTTCTACATATGCAGTGAAAAAGAGAACTAGCAAAATTAATGGGTGATTTAAATAAGCCTTCTGAATTTGTATTAGTTTGCTCAGTGATTTCCAAGGATTCCAAGTTTAGGGCCTAGACTAAGTAATTCTCCAACTAAAGTCCTTTGTAAAAGTAGACTCAGTTTTTACAATTCCTGTTTACTATTATTTTAACGATTTAATTTAACCTCAATTTTGGCAGAATGGATAGATTTGTTGTTTCATATGAATTTTTTAACTTCCGTTTCTCCCATCTATATAATAAGACAAGTACAAATCAAATTTGTTTTGTTTTTAAATTACTTTTTCCAGTATTACCTTGGTGGTAAATTTATAAAAATGATAAGCAGAAAAAAACTGCACTCCACATGAGAATCATGCTATTATCCTCCGGCACAAAGTGGGTCTTGACTGTTCCCCTCTATACTGGTCATCTGACCTTCATCTTTTGGCTTAAAGAAAGCCGTCTGCTACAGGCACTCCTAAGAGTTCCAAGGGCTGAATTCATATGAATAAAAAAAAAAGGTATGTCTATTAGCAGGCTTAAATTTGAGCTGCCACTTCCATAGTGCAATAAGACAAATATGCTGACCTAAATATGAACCCAAGACTTTTCCTGATTTTCTTTGCTTTTATTTTCCTTAAGGGGATGTAAAGAGAGCTATGCGGCAGTCTTCATTTCACTTCATTTGTTAATTTTCCCTAATAGCTATTGAAAGAATGTAGTTCGAAGAAAACGATGGCCCCTGCGACTCAGTAATAATAAATCTGCCACTGCTGAGTTGAATGCAGAGATCAAAGAGAATCAGAAACTTACTTGTTCATTGGATCGAGAGAGACAGCTCTTTATGACTTCTGTTTCCAGAAGCGTACGCTTATTAATCTCCACATGTTCATAGTACTTAGAAAGTCGGGTCTGCCCTTGTTTATTCACCATAAGGAAAAATTTTATCATTTTTTTTTCTGGCCAGTATTTTTCCAAATATAGTTCAAAAGTTATGGCGAGGGGTAGCTGTAACCAGAACCTGAAGAATAAAAGAACAACAGAAAGGCAAGATCAAATTTCTCAAGAATCATATTAAATGTGTTCTGTAGATGAACCAGAAGTAAAACGTCTTCTGATAACATTGGTCTTCACTCCTGTGAACTAAATGAGACTTTAATAAATAACTAAAGATAAATTTTCCTTAGTTATCCTCCAAAACATTTTTGAGTATCTACAGTAGTTCTACTCATATTCATTCAATTGTTTCATCAATCTTGTTGGGCGCCAACTATGTGTCAAGCACCAGAAGGAGAATATGGATGAAGAAGTAATGATTTCTGATCTTCAGATCATGACACCTAGCAAAGGTACTGGATAGGTAAACAAGTAACAGCAGTACAGGGTGATGAGTTATAACTGGGACAGGTATACTTCTGTGGTGCACAAAAGGGAGGGACAAGGAGCATCATGGGAAAGTTGGGAATGGCTTCCCAGACAAGGGGCATTTAAGCAAGATCTTGAAGAATGACCCAGAGGGAGAGACTCTGAGGCACAGAAAATAGGGGTATGAAAGCTTTGGGAAGTTCACTTTGGTTGCAGGTCAGGGGGCAAGAAGAATGGTCACAGGAAATTGAGCTGCTCACATAAGATAAAATTGGCTTTAGAAGTTATGTTAAGGAATATGAAATTTATTCTATGGACAATGGAGACAGGATGTGTAGTGAAGCTCTTCTTTCCTTAGTGTTGAAAGCAGTAGTAACATCAACTATTTGTCGAAGTCCTCGTACAAGGCCCCGTAACAAGTCCTATAAGGTTCTGTACTGAGCAATTTACATACATTATTCAGTTCTCACAATTTTCTGAGGCAGGGACTTCTGTTATCCCCATTTTAAGGATAAGAAAACTGCATTTTACAGATGTTAAGGCACCCAGCATACCTGGATTACTGTATGTCAGGGGTGAGATGCAGGTCAGAGGCTAAGCGCATGCACAGATCCATGACACCCCTACTCCTCATTCATGCTTGTGGGTTTATTTCAAACTCAGCTGTATTGAATCCCATGTTTGTTATTCTTATACTTAATATAGTTTTTGAAATAATCAATGCAAAAGCGCACAATATTGACCAATGGCCAATTCTTTCCTCATGAGCATCAGAGCTCTCTCAGGCCAATCTTACAATATCATATTCACATTTTGTAATATCTTTGAAAATCAGTGCAAAAGACCAAGGTTAACAATAGTTCTTAAGCGAAATTTTAAAACTTGGAATAATTTTACAGAATAGTTGCAACAGATGATGAGATAATATTTTTATATTATTTTTTGCCTTCCTAGCTCATCTTTTATTTCCTAAACCCTATCAGACAGGCGGTTATCTCATAACAATTCCAAACATTAAGAGCTGGTTAGAGGCAGATCCAGTCTGGCAAAGCCTGGGGCTGCTGTGTTCATTCGGTGTGCAGAACAGGATGTCATCTAGACCAGCTCAGCCGGGGATTTGACAGCTGTGCCACAGGGGGAGGCCTGTGGTCATTCACTCCCTTTTCCAGGAAGATAAACTCACTACTGTAGGTGGCATTGCAACATACTCTGTGTTATTTAGTCATTTGGTGTTAAGTCCTGCTTTTATCCTCCTTACAAATTACTGCCAGTAAAAATTATGGCAGATGACTAATAAATTAAGATTACCATCCTTTCCTTTATTCCCTTTCAGCAAAGTTATTTTAAAACCATCTATGAAAGTTAGAAATGACAATCCTATACCCTGGACTCCAACTGCCAGGTAAAAGAAAATATTGTCTCAAAGGTACTCATGGCCAAACCATTGCCTTTAAATGCCCTGGTTGCATTAAGTGGTAAAATGAGATGTAAAATGATCCCACTGAGATGCTACACCAAGGGATCAAATTGGTTTCCACCTTACAAGCACAGCATTCCTTCCCACTGACTTCAAGAGCAAGGATGACAAACAAGGACGTGCTGAACTGATACTCATTAGGACACAAGTCTTGAAAATGGTAGCTGAAGGCATCTAAAGACTTGAATACAGTATTTTTTTTTGCACGCTCATAAACAATTACACGATTTACAACTGTAGGATTACACAGTGGTAATAAAGCGGACAAGCAAAACTGTAAAGTATTTCTATTATAAAATATACAACACCAAAATATACAATGTGGAGACTCAGAGACAGGTACATGTTTGAGAACTGAAGATGAATGACATAAGCACCTATCCTGGTTACTAATTACCAGGGAGGAGGGAGATCAAATAATTATGAAACTGAGGTAGGGCAGTAAGAAGGAATATGCTTAGACAAGTGCTGGGAGTGGTCGGGGAGCAGATATGAACTTCCTCTGTTAATATACTCTTTGCATTCAACAACACACGGGCTGGGAAAGATGTCTTGATTGCCAAGAAGTTAGGAGATTCCACACCCAAGAACTTGTGTGAATGTGTGTGAAAAATCAAGGAAGAATAAAAAAGAAACTTTACTGGAGAAGACATTACACAAAGGGCGCTAGGATGCCTAAAGGCCAAGACTAGGGAGGTGGGTAGATTCACAGTAGAATATAAACAGATCAGCGTCCCAGTCCTCTACGTGATGTAAACTTAATGCTTAGAGAAAAGACAGACTGGAAAGACTAAAGTAAGTATTGAATTGGGCACAGTTTTCATACTTCTGATGGTGTATTTCTGGGAGTTAGAACTGGAAGAATCTTTATAGGTTGTCATACCCAAAGATGACAAATAGATTTCAACTTGGCCAACTTTGATTAACTGTACTAACTGCATTGAGCACTGTGTTGGGAAGGATTCTGAAGCTGTTTTCAGGTTCAGAGCAAGACGATGTCATGAATAATTAGTAATGTCAGTTGTGGGTTAGGAAGCAGGGTGTGGCAACATATGCACCTTGTATCTGTCATCTCTGATGTGCACTCCATTTTGTAGATGGGAAAACTGGTAATCTGAGATGCAGAGTGAAGTCCTGAATTCTGGTCTCTTGACTCATAATGCTGTCTTTATCACATTGCCTCTGTCTCACTCAGTGTATTAGTGTCATTAAGTCCATTTAAGCTTAAGAAGCATCAACTTCAGGTATCTTTGGGAATGATCAACTCAACATTATCTTTTCTAATGCTGCTGCACAATGAATGGAAAATACCAAACAATTCACTGCACGAAAACAGTAGAGTAGGAAGTTTCTGGAAATGAAAATGTTATTTGATGATGGCTAACATCCTTTCTAGCTCTAAATGCTTTCTATGTACCCCAGAACCATAATATTGTAAAACTCACACACACACACATACACATACACACACACACACACACACTCAGGGAATATCAGACAAAAACTTTGTTTTTGCCCCATGAAAATGACTGAAATAAAATCCCCCAAGTTACAAAGCCAATTTCCACCAAAAACTGTATACTACTCGTAAGGTATAATAGTCAAAAGCATGAACTAGGTAGAGCTTGACTGTTTGGCTCTACTACTTATTAGCCTTGTGATACTGGGAAAATTACTTAATCTTCCTGTACTCAGTCTGAGGTACAATGGGAATAATATTAGTACTGACCTTCTAGATTGTGAGGAGTAGTTAGTATATGTAACATTCTTAGAACAGTGTTTGGCAGTTGGCATGAAGTGAGTGCTATGTAAGTGTTGGCCAATGTCATTACGATAGTATATCACCTCTTCCTCAGACAAGCCTTTCCTGCCTATCCCAATCCCTCTTTCTAACCACAAAAAGTTGGCTATCTTTTCTTTGAACCCATCACTGTATCTTACAAAACCTGTCACCCTAAATAATCACTATTTGATTACATTCTGAGCTCCCCAACCAGACCAGTGATTTTCACTGTTTTACTGTGATATATTTTACGCTGTGATATATTTTACATTGTGACCCAGTATACAGGTACATACATATCTGAATGGAAGTTCATAAAACAATACTCGCCCATACTTTGTGTATTGTACTCCAGTATCTTCTATGACCTTTCATTTTATAAAAAATGCAGTTGTGAGGGGTTTGGATTACACAGATGTATGGATTTTTCAAAACTCACCAAATGTAAATTTTATATAAAAAGAAACTAATACTCTGGTTGATGATATACATGCTGAAGTATTGGGGGGAAATGTACTGATGTCTACAATTTACTTTTTTTTTGGGGGGGGCGGGCTGTGCTGCCTGGCTTGCAGGATCTCAGTTCCCCAACCAGGGATCAAACCCGGGCCAAGGCAGAGAAAGCCCGGAAACCTAACCACTAGGCCACCAGGGAACTCCTTATAATTTACCTTGAAATGCACCAAAAAAACTAAGATAAATTAATGGATGGGTAGACAGATGGATAGATGGTTAGATATATGATAAAGTAAGTACAGTTGGCCCTCTAGATCTGTGGGTTCCATATCCACAGATTCAACCAACCATGGACTGAACATATTTGGGAAAAAAAATTCCAATATGTTCCTAAAAGCAAAACTTGAATATGCCGTGCACTGGCGACTATTTACATAGCATTTACATTGTATTAGATATTATAAGTAATTTAGAGTTATTTCTAGCTTAAGTTATTTTAAAGTATATGGAAGGATATGCGTAGGTATTATATATGCAAACACTAAGCCATTTTACATAAGGAACTTGAACATGCACCGATTTGGGTATGTGTGGGAACTCTAGAACCAATCCCCCATGGATACTGAGGGACGGATGACTATATAGTAAAAGATTAATGGTAGAATTTAGGTGGTGAGTATATGGGAATTCACTGTGAAATTCTTTTCAACTTTGTAGTATATTTGAAAATCGTCACAACAAAATATTGAGGAAAAATGCTAGTTGTGGCCCACTGCTACATTTTTTTTAATTCCATAGATTTTATTTTTTAGAATAGTTTTAGATTTACAGAAAAAATTGCAAGGACAGTATAGAGTGTTCTCATATACTCCACACCCAGTTTCCCCTATTATCAACATCTTAGTTATTATGGTACATATGTTACAATTAATGAATTGAT